GGGGGGGGGACGGAGAGGAGGGAAGGATGGGGGGGGGGGGGGAGGGAGGGGGGGGGGGGGGGGGAGCAGGAGTGGGAAGGTGTTTGAGCGAACTTTATTAATCAAGCATCTGGGATTAATTGTTATGAAGTGTCACCCATAAATTCTCCATTTGGATTTAATAATCTCGGAGGTAGATTTAACAATCCCTGTCGTGATTTGAGCTTTATTGAAGAGGCTGCGGAGAAAGAGAGAGGCAGAGGGAGGAAAGGGATGTGGTGACACAAATAGCTTCTCAGCGGACAGTCCCTCTCTGTATGACAGTTATGAAATACAATTATCAGCAAGATCTGCTTAAGAATTCATCAACTGCACCTCTGCCTTCCGAGGAGAGCGGGAAGGGAGGGGGGGGCAACATACAAAGCAAGTCTTAACTGATAAGACTTCTCTTTTTCCCTGCAGCCCTTAAACTATCATTTCAGATTCCCCGGCTCAGTCTTGTTAAGTCACTGTAAAGGTACGACACGCATATTGCTTTGCAGGTTATATTAAAGCATAAATCATTAGGTAAGAAAAGGGAATATGGTAAATGACACACCGTATGCAAATCACCCGGGATCACGAGTGGTTTGTCTGAAATGCATCACCCGCTGGTTTGCATCAGGGTCAATAATAGCAGTTAATCTCTGCGCGCAGTGAAAATATACTGTCAGGGAATTGCACAACACCCTGTCAGTGCACAAAAGTAACTGGATCATAAAACGCGCATGATTTCAATCAACTGTCATCTAATTGCAGCCGCACCTTTTGAAACGAGTGAAGAACGGCCACAATGTAGGTTGACAGTGTGCATAAAATTTGCATAACTTTGCATATCCCAACGCCATTAATGTTAGTTTTATTGGAGGCTCTCGTTTCTTCTGCTTTTTCTTTTTGTAGGTTGTCTTAAAGAAACAAGGACGGATGCAGGACAGTTCAGTTAATTGTTGAAGGAATTGGCCTGACTCGACTATAATCAATACGTTTTAACAAAATGGAGCTACGATCCAGCTGTGCTGCTTCCATCTCCCAAACATTACTCTGTCTGATCTTGGGAAGCTATTATCTCTCCGACAAAAGACGGATCTCAGAAACAGAATGACTCTGTCTTCGATCTGACTCGGAATGGAAAGTCTTTACGAGACAATTTTTGTTGGACGCCGGAAAAGCTCGTGAAATATTTGCCTTTAACGAGACGTTTCCTCCTGCCAGATATCGCCCTGATCAATGACGCTTCTGCTCCAAGAGAAACGGCAATACCTGGAACCCCGGTAAAAACCCTGCGTCACTCAATCCCTCACTGACACAACATCCAGGATTTAGCTCGGTTTAATCCGAGGACCCCCGTCGTCTCCCACCAGGAACTACAGCTGCTGGCAGGTAATGTTGTGGCTTCAGTGGCATTGCTCCGTGTCAAACTCTTTTGAATTTGTCAAGCATCAATTCAGTCAAAGAGAAGAAATCGTCTACTAACGTTTAGAAACTTCAAGAATGAGTGACCAGAATGGTTGCAGAACATTTCCTTCTTTTTTTTCCCAAGCTGTACTTTTTTTGGTTTTAGCCCCGTCATATGGGGCATTTTTGGGTACAAAAATGAAATATGATGGAACGTTTCATACAAACCACCATTTTAAAGTTTCTAAGACAACTGATAAAAGTTTGTAGGATCTCATCAATCCATCTCAAGGAAAAGCTGGTTTTGACTAATCACCAGCAGGAGATGGCTTATTTTTACTTTTTCTTGATCAAGTGGTCATAATTTCTCATACTTCATTTAACTCTACCAAACTGGGATTATCTCCCCAACGCATACAATTTTGCATATAGTGATGCAAAACTGTAGCAATATTATAGTTTGTTAAATTATTTTAAAGTTAACCCACTAAATAAAATAAGTAATTCTTCACCCAAGACTCAAATGTTTTTAATCACACTTAACTTTGACAACTTCAACTTCCTGACATGGCAAACATCTTGTTGTTTGACTTCAAATGTTTAAAAAAAACAAAAACAAAAAAACATGCCAGAGTTGACAATATATTCTTAAACTTTGTTTGTGGCAAGTTATATTTGATTGAGATGAGCAAATACTGGGGTTTAGTTTTTGCTGTCTCTAAAGATGCAAATAAACTGGAACAAGGTAAATGAACTTAACATTTTAAATGTTCCACTATTGTGTTTTTGTTGTTTCTGCAGCAGATCCTCCTGGATCGCTGCTGAAGACGACGGTCACACCTTCCCGAGTCTGGTTCAGCTGGATTCTTCCTGTTGAAAGATAACTTTCCCTTTTCCCCACATTAAAATAATTGACTGTCATGATCAACTGATCATATTTGCTTTTACAGTGTTAAATCGGAAACATTTAGATCAAGGTGGAATGCATTTGTTTAGATTTCAATTGGAATCTGATGTCAGAAAAAAAATCGCATTCAATGTATCGTGATTCGGATGGGTTCAGTTTTTCTGTATTAAAATCTCACTTGGATGACTATGTAGTTGAGGCCCTCTCTCTCTCTCTCCCTCTCTTTCTCTCTCTCTCTGTATATAAAACTTGTTAAAATGCCTCAAATCTGTACCAAATGATTTTGTAGTATTACGTCTTATTTTTTCATTACTTATTTGACTTTAATATATGTTACCTGATTATTTTCTAATAAAACACATTTTCTGTGTGGTTTATCTGCATTTACATGTGGACTTCTGCCTTCATCTCTTCATTTGGTTCAAGCTTTATTTCCTCCTTCTAAAAAGTGTCATCTGTACACATGCACAGGCATGAAAAAAAAAAACACCACCACCACATTCAAATCTAAATCTTTTATTATTCATTTTGGGCTGGACTCCCGAAATGTTATATGAATAACATGTCATATCGCACTGCGTGTTATTACCAGGCACCATTTTGCACCCTGCCCTGTAATTTTTCCCTAACCCTGACAATTTAGCATGCCCTGATGCTGGAAAGTGACACACAGTGATTTTAAAATGAGCCGAGATGACAGAGGTGCACCAGATGCGTCATCGAATTCAGACCACTTTATCATAAAACGCCTCCTTTGCTTTTATGCCGCTTAGGTTGAAATTCTTTAGCTGGGGAACGTTAATATAGGGATATCACAGCTCTAAGGAAATGTTCCAATCAGCCATAACATTTTGAGCGGCGTCTTATCCTCCACGTTCTGATCAGTCTGAGAATAGACATAAACATTCATCTACAACCAAGTACGTTATCCCTAGATTGTTTGGATTGGGTTATTTGTGGTGTGATATTGCTAAGGATATAAAACAATCATAAAACTAATTTCCATCTTTACTACAGGTAGCCTATCAGTCTTTAAAGATTGAAGTTATTTGATAAGTGAAAAATCTATTTAAACCAAAAAATGATTTTCTTCAGTGATTTTGTCGAAAACAGACAATTTATGTATTTTATCGTTGGCAGGTGACTTTATAAAAGCAAGTTTGCTGAAATTATTTGAGTTTGAATTTAATTTGGGAACACTAGAGATGGTGACCCGAGTTTGAGACCAACTTCAGTCACGGTAAAGTAAAAAAAAAAATCTAAAAGACTAAAGATTCAGCTTTAAGTTGTGCACTAAAGATTTGAGACTTGCCCCTCAAACACTTGAGACTTGTGATCAACATGTCTGGGGCACTGTGTGACGGATTTGTCTTTGAGACCCTAATTGTTCAGTGTTAGCCACACTTTCAATTTGCTGGCCACCTCAACAAAGATTTAGACTTTGTTGAGGTGGCCTTTATTTCAATTCCTCAAAACATTTAAATAAAACTTTCTAAATTAGCTCAAACATGCACACAAAACAAAAGTACTTCAATAACACTGCAAAAATCAAGCACATCATCTTCCAGGTGACAAGATAATTTTATTAAAAATAAAACTGTCTGTCCTGTTGATCCTTTTCCCATCATTGCACCTGCCTCACCAGTGAAGGACACCAATATCAGCGGACGTCAGGATGAATGAATCTCATCCATCAGAGGGCTTTGGGATCCAATCAGTCCCTTGACATAAACATCCCTTGACAAGTGCTCAAATATGTTACAGCAAGGAGAGGGCTGGTTTTAAAAGGACAGGGTGTGAGTGTGTAAGTGAGATAGGAGTGAATCAGTCAGAAAGAGGCAGCAATACGAAGAAACACTGCAGATGTGTGTAGAAACAGTGATCATCAGCATATTATAGTAGTCTATGAGTTTTAAAAGGCCTTTACGTCTAATCCTACTCAAAATCCTGTAAGAGAGTATGCTAAGCTGTGAGCGTCTCTTGATGCCCAGTTCAAACCCTGATTACGAAATCGAGTATCTCAGATGTAATCCCAGCAGGACGTGGCCGTCTATCTAAACTAACAGGCCGAGATGATTCCACCAATGTTTGGTGTTGGGTTTTTACAGTAGGCTCCATGTTAACGTAGATCCAATGCATTAAAATAGTTTATATCTATTATCTTATTCACACATTATTAGGAAACCCCTTTTGATGAAAACAGCCGCTCCAGATGTATCTAAGCGAATTGTCCTGGTGCTTTATTGTGCTGCGTCTCATTTTTAAGAGTGTAATTGTGGACACATTAACTTGCTCCGTTTGTAGAAAATTGCAACCAAGTAAAAGCTGGGTATTTTGGAAAGCCATATCAGTCACTTTTCCCATTGTGTTTGACAACAAACAGACGCAGTAACTCGGAATCAGGATCGGACCAAGCGTCATCTCACCTCACCAAAGATGCAGCTCCGCCTTTCCCCCCTGGTATTTGTGCGCACCTCTGCATCATCAGCACCTCCTCATGAGCAACAGAAGCCGTGGCGTTCTATGTGTATGCGGGGAGTGGTGCGTGAGTCTGTGCTCAGGTGGCAGACACCCTCTGTAAATCATTTCAGATCCATTTATTCAGGGGCCTGTGTGCAGACGACACCTGCACAATGCTGCCAAAGAAGTGCCACAATGTCAGCGACTTTGTTTGCAGCTCTGACCCCCCACCGCCACCCTGCCCCTCCTTACCCCCACACGGTGTGTGTCTATGTGAATCTGCTTGCATCCATATACAGTCATATAAAACAATTAGGAGTCTGTAGTGGATATTTAAACTGATGTCTATTTTTTCCAAACATATTTTCTACCAGGACACAGAATACCCTGGCTCATAATAATGTTTAGATCAGTGTTTCCCAACCCTGGTCCTCAAGGCACACTGACCTGCATGTTTCAGATGTTCCCCTGCTTCAACACACTTCATTCAGATGATTGCAATTCAACAAAACCCTGTTAATTAGCCATCAATTGAAATCATGTGTGCTGAAGCAGGGGAACATCTAAAACATGTAGGTCAGTGTGCCTTGAGGACCAGGGTTGGGAAACATTGGTTTAGATCACGGACATGCAGAGTCCGGTTCTACTTTGCCTGGATTTGTTTTTACAGGTTGTCTCACATTTTCTTAAACCACTGTAGAGTTCATGGTTGATTCCATAACGAGGAGCTGGCCAGTGACCAGGTGCTGCTGCTCTGTGGCACTTCCAGCTCTGTGCTGTACAATTAATACAAAGTTATTTTCCTGAAATGCTGCCTTTCATTTTTGTCAAACGTGTCCTCTGTCCTGGTGTCCAAAAGGAGAAGGAAAATATGTTTTAAACTGTCCCAATGATGTTACTCCAGAAGTTTTGAGTTCTTCTGCAGAAATATCAGTCAGAAACAACCAATCGGAGGCAGGGGGAGAGTCTTGTGCTACTCGCATCCTTTCCTTGCTGTCTAGGCTACAGCTTTCCACATTGGAGACTTCAGTAAATGCCCAGGCCACCAATGATGGCAGATAAAGTGTTTTCCTGCAACGGTACCTTATGTCACCATCATTAGCACGCTAAGTAGCGCATATACAAGCATGATTGACACCGCTAAGACCGTGTCCCTGGCTCTGATTGGTTGTTTCTGACTGGGAGTGGTGCATTTCTGCTCATATCAGTAGGACCACAAGGATAAGGTACAGCAGCTAAACTGTCACGTCATAGTGACAGTCTTAATATGTTTATAAAAACCATATTGTTCACAAAAGTTGCACACTGCAGCTTTAAGCATTCAAAAAAAACACAGAATTTCTTAATTTTACTCACATGACTGTGAGCAAGTATTCTGAGTTTTATATTGATCAAATCAAAGCTAGGTGACTCAGTTAAAAGTGTCTTATTGAGAGAGAAAGGGGAAATAACAACAAGATACTCTTTCTTCTTGCTGCTGTGTTGCTTTCAATGATTCCTGCTTCTAATCCAATTCACTCTGGAGGATAAGCAGTTAATTAAATTACTTTAATGAACAAACCAAAACTAAAACGGGGGGAATAAATAAATAAATAAATAAAAAAAATCTTTGCTTCCTAAATAGCAAATTAATTTTCTAAAACACTCAAGATCTGCTTGATGGTATTTTTAGGCTGGATTCATATTTTTTGATATGACAGCTGTCTCGCTGTGTTCAAAATGAGCTCGTTTGCGTGTGTCATTTGCACGCTGACAGTCAGTTGTGACAGTTGTAAAGTGTTCTTGAAAAAGCGCCCGGCACGGACACTCGAGGCAGTCAGACGAAAGATTTTGCTGGCTGTGATGTCTGTGTGTCAAATTACTTATCTCGCTAAGCATATGCTGGCACTTCAGAATCATATACTTCAAAAACCCCCGGATCCTTCAAAAGCATCAAAAAAAAAAAAAAAAAAAAGCATGGGGACTGTCTCATTCTACACATCAGTCATGTAGCCACCAGCAAAATGAGCTGAGATGTCATTTGCACTCAACCAAAAGCTTCCGGAGACATTTAAAGACACTCTCGATGACTGTTTCAATTTGGGAAGACTGTTAATGATCTCGTCTCAGCTGCCTTTTGTGCGTCTTCCTCTGAAGATACAAGTGAGTGACAAAGAGGGCTTAGATGTGCACTTCAGCTAAAGCAATTGCCAATTATTGATTTGAGAGCTGAAGACTTATTAGCAAATCTCTGCAGGACTTATTATCCAGCTGTTGGCCTAGATTTTGGGATTGTTTCAAAGAGGGAGTCAACATCGGGGTCAGTTGAGCTCCAAGAATAATAGAAGATGAAATGATAATCCCCGCTGTCGCACGGTTTTTAACGTTTTGTTTAATGAGCCTGGAATACATTCATACAAATAAAACCAGCCTGCAAACAATAAAAAAAAAAACCCAACCTGCTTTGTAGAGCTGAGCAGCGTTGAGGGAAGCTGACCTGTTTTATTTCTTAACTGGGCAGTTTTATTCCTGACATTCAACTAAAAACAAACAAAAAAAAAACAGCAGAGCAATGAAAACTGGAGGCTAATTGAACTAAAGAATGTGTGTCGCAAAGAGAGAAACCAGCTGACAGATAAAATGGAGTAACAATACACTGCTCTAAAGCAGAAACTGCTGGGCAGTATGACTTCAAGATGAACAGGAAACGGCTCCTCCTTTTTCTTTAAAATCGTCCTCCTGGACGACTGGGTTTTACTCTCTGCCGCCGGAGTGAGGAAACAAAAAGCAACGGCTACTCCACCTCACAAAAGCAGAAATGCTATTTTTACTTTTCCACCTTTTCCCATAGTTTTCAGCGTGTTTTGTGACAGGATTTTATGCGATAAACCATGTCGAAGAAGTGCACGACAGATAAAATTTGAAAAGTGTG